TAAATAACAGTCTCTAATGAAGAAGTGTCAATAATACTTAGCATTTTGCACTGTACTTATGATGTTGACTCTGATGGTATGCTTATTGCTCTGCTGTCACATAGTATGATAGGAAATATTTGCTCATATAATTACAACAGTGGATTTTTCAGACAGTTTATATTTAAACTAGGATGCAGTAATAGTACTAAACTTTTTCCTAGTGGAAAGTTATGCTTAAACATGATCTTGTCTCATAATTGTATTCATTGTCTGGAAACAATTGAATCAAATGCTTAAAATATTGTTTTTCACAGGTCATAGATGAACTATAAACAAGGCAGACCTCGATGACACATAAGCAATCCTGCAAATAACCTTCCATGGACTATCCAGCTGCAGTTTTCCATTCTACAGCAGGCAACCCATTTGAACCCAATGTTTAAGGGTCAAGGAATCTCTTCTGCTTCCATTTAAGTACTTGAGAAAGCTGTCAATGAAATGCAATTAATACTACAGAAGCCTAAACATTTTGTCATTCTCTGAGGAGCACTCTTGAAAGCAGAGAAATGTTTCCATGTTAGAGTTTATCATCCTGAAAAAAAAGTATCCGGTTTTGTAATAAATAAAATGTATCGATGATCAGAGAATATGAACTCATGGATACTGGTGTCTCTCATCTGCCTCATCACAATTTTTGCAACAAACTATACCATCAATCATTACAGAAATAATTGATTTAGACCACAACAATTCAGACATAAGTCATCTGGGTGGAAATCCTGGAGATCTTCAGGTGCTCAGCAAAAACTGAAAACTCACAGCTTCAGTGCCAGCCTTTTTTTTTTACTTGCAATTGTAACTGCTATTATGAGATGAAAATAAGTGGATATGGCCAAAATGTTTCTATTATTCTCATACGATGCAATTTAGAGTGATGGATGTAGGACTCCACAGACAAAACAGCATCGCTTGCAGAGGATAAAAGCAAGATTTGGGCACTATTTCCAGCCCACTAATGTTTATCCTGAAACTGGGGGTTTTTCCCTTTTTTTTATACATAGACAGGTATCATTCTGACTACAATCATACTTCAAAGCATTGTGTAGATGGATTTTAACATGAGAGTCGGGTGACTATCCTTATACTGAATCCAAGGCTTCTTGAGTTTTATGGCATATAAAATCTCTGTATTCTCTGTTTTAAGTTGGAGCCACTAACAGTCTAGGAATTCCAGATGTGGCTTTGAAGCTGTGTTTTCTAGCTTTCAGTGTAGTTGCCTTTCCCCCTCAACTTCAAAATTATATCAAGATGAGGTTTCTAGGGCAAACAGCTCTGGAAATATTGAAGGCATGATTCTGGCTCATGCGCATATATAACCTCCACAGAGAACAAAAAAAAGTGATTTTAATAAAGACTAAATAATGAAAAGGGATACAGGTAAAAGAAATAAATCCCAATACCACAAGAGCAGACACAGAGCTTGCAGAAGACACAAAAAAAAAAACCCCTTCAATGGACACTTCAAAAGCCTAGTAATAATCCAGCTATATTCATAACCAAAAAGTTCTTTGTGAAAGAGAAAACAAATTTAAAGAGGCACTGGTATTCCAGCCCTCAGGCTTTCTTCAAGGTAAAGCAACAAAAATAAGCAGAAACCTCTGCAGTCTCCCTTTAAATCACGTTTACCTGACACCTGCTTGGCTTCTAGCAAGGAACTCTCATATCCAACAAATTGGCCATTGATGGTTTTAAATTTCCTCCTAGCAATCTAGCTTCTCAACTCCATCTTAAAAAAACTAAACATGAAAAGAAATGGAACCAGTGCCACTCTTCTCTTTAACAGCAAGAATTTTGGTAAGCAACTTTCCAAGACCAATTCATAAAGTGCAACAAAATAACTACTACTTCTGAGCTATCAGTTGCTTTGATTGTAGCATTTAATTTGGTCTACTCACTCCAGGCTGAAGTCCCTCTTTTTTTACATGTGATAGTGAAGGATTCTGTGTCATGTTTGAGGATCAGAATACCATCCCTACATATTTCTTAGTGTTCAACCACTACAGTAAATCTCATTCCTATAGATGGATAAACAGCCATACATGCAGAGTTAAATGAAGATTCAGTTCCCATCTTATTTTTTTTCCCATCAGTTTTCCTGTATTAAGAGAAAGAATAGTTTTTGCATTCCCTTCTTTGGAAATGGTACCATAGATGCAGTATACTGATCTGAGTCACAGGCAAGCAGAGATGAGTGGGTTTTTTTGCATTCCCATAATGCCTGGCACAAAAGGTTAAAGGTTCATGACCACAGATACAAGGAATGCTGTGTGTGTAAATACTGGGAGTCACATACAATTGTTTTTGAAGCTGTCAACATTTACAGGGAAATGCAGTAACACACTGGTTAACACCTTTTAAACCATAGGGAAGGGAAAAGAATCTGGACTACACTATTTGTTTAGGATGCTCAAAGTAACTTTTATTCTTTTTCTAGCATGGAAAGACAATCAGTTTAACACATTTGTGAAGCTTTTTGAAATAAAGGAACTATGAAATGCAAGGGAGGCCCAAATTCAGTATTGGCTACACAGTTCATGGAAGCCTTGTTCTATTTCCACCACCACTATGCCAAGACAGCCCCTCATTTCCTTTTCCTCCTGACTTCTGCTGAATTATTCCAGATGTAGAAGCTTGATTAGCTTCAAACTGCATCTAAAAAAAGACCTGTGACCTAGTCTACATTCTCCATTTCACATCTCTGATGCATTATTTAGTTGCTAGTGCGCAGATTTCCTATTTAAAGAAAAAAAATCAGACAGAAATCATCATCCTCAACATATATCTACTATTTTTACACCACAACCTGTTGATCCTTACTTGAAAAGTTACCCTGAGTACCCATGTTAGTCAAAAAAGGCATATAGGAATTCACATTGGAAAAAATGAATTTGCAACTGAAGAAGTGAGACAATGGGATTCTTCATTTTTTCCAGCTGGAAAGTTAGGTCCTGCTTGTCCTCACATTGATCACGTGGTTCAAGAGTATTCTTTCTTTGTATGGCACATTCATGAGGTCATTGCTCTTTGGTGCCAGAGCAGGTGTGGGAAGGCAGGTGTTGCATACAACAACCATTATCTCATTAGTCCTGTTGCTGTTTTCTGGAAGGCACCCAACTGTTGTCTCAGAAGCACCTCAAATGCCATAGCACTCTTAATGAAGTTGAACCAAGTGCCAAAACCAGAATGTTGGGACTGGCCAACTGATAAAGCTATCCATTTAGATAAGGCAGAGAAAAGCTAAAGAGAGACACTTGCTAAAGAACAATTTTTGGAATAGCCCTTTCCTGTAAGAATGGCTACCTTAAATAAGGCAGCTGCAGCCAAGAGGAAAAATTTGAACTCTATATGAATTCAGGGAAAATACTGTTATATAGAGCAAGTCCTGCCCACAAATTGATCAGATGCTCCTGTTCCTAATCAGCATTATGCTGGGAATGCTACAGCTGTTGATATTAAGTTAGAATAAACCTGCAAGCTTCTTTAATACAGAGCCCTGCAAGAAATGCTCTGCAGAAGCACTATAACAACAGGGCCTCAACAGTGAAAGAACTAGATGTGCTTGTTATCACTCTAATAATTTGCTTGAATGCATTCCT